GAGTTTCATTGGCGCTGTTGTTCACTCAAACCCCTTGAGCACATGTTCATCACTTCAACATTCAGCCACACCATGCAAGCAATAGTTTGTACCAAGGTGAAGGCAATGTGTTGCAGTGTTGCCATGTATTACGCTACTGTTTGGGACATAACGTCAGAGAAGCTTCATCAGTTAGGCGTCCCCCATCATGAGGCGACCTGCCCAAAGACGGCAAGGTCTGTGCAAACTGATAAAGACCTGCGCGCTGGTCTTGGCATTGCTTTTCATTGACGGTGCACACGAGCGTTTGACCTTTGTCGGTGGAGGATGCCATCCATTCCAGCCTCTCATTGCATTTGACGGAAGAGTGCCGACGAGATTGAAAGCGGAAGTCCGTAATGCAAGTACTAAAAAACCTCTGATACTGCCACCTCCGAGCAAGGCAGCAGATCCGCAGAACCACGTTTTCCTCTCCCTGACAGACTACGACAAGAAAATTGACAAGTTGTTTGAAGGAGACCATGATGTCGTCTTCATTCGCGGTGGTGTAGCCATAGGCAAGACAACACTGGTAGAACATTTGGCACGTGAGTTTCCCCAGAAGTACGTCAATGTTCCCTTCACCGATGCAGGAATAGCAACTGTTTGGAAGATGGGCATTGGAGAAAGCGATCGGCAAGAAGACCGCCCGAGATGGTTTGGAGTTTAGGAACGCCTTGAAGCTGGCGAGAGACAACAATCTGACGCTCGTCTATGACGAGGCTCACACCCTCTTCTCTTCACCAGAGCTATGCTCAGCGCTCTTCAAGAGCAGTACAGCCTATCAACCAAAGATCCTGCTATTCTCAGCTTCAGGGGTGCTTCCACTGCATCAACCCTGATTGTGTCCACACCGGGTGAAATTACCCAGAAATACATGTGGACACCTCCCTTGAACTCCACGTCAGAGCTTCAGGAGCAGCTGAAGGAAGCCGGTGTTAGGCTGGACCAGAAGAGCATCAAGTTCTTTATACAATTTTGCGGTGGACATCGTGGCATCTTCATTGCAGCAATGCGCTGGGTGCAGAGCAAGCAGAGAAGTGGGATTTCCCGCTGGGCTTTCCCGCAGACAGTGGGTTTTGCGCGGAATAGCTACGATGGAGGAGATTGGGATTGTGCAAAAACTGAGATTTTGGGGTACCTGCGCGAGAGCCGTGCAGTGAGGGTCAATGGTTTGTACAAAGACGTGAGCAACGTGCCGAGAGAGTTTGCAGAGCTTTTGTGCAAGGGCTCAACAACATTGCCACAGCATGTCCGGAGAGACCTTACCATCCACGGCTTCGTGGTTCCCAAATACAGTGGTACGGGGAGAGAGTTAAAACAGTTGGATTGGATGACTGAGGGCACAGAATACCGAGCGGCAAATCCTTTGCTTGCCTCGTATTACTTCCACAATCTGAGGAAGAGGCAAAATTTACAAGTTCACTTTGAGCCCGGAAAACCCCAACACTGTGCAGACCTATTGATGCGAGCATTGCCCTACCTGCTCTTCTCCCGGGTTGTGAGCTTCGAAGCAAACACATCTGAGTTGGCGAAGGACGGTCTTCCGAGTGAGGAGCAGTACAACCAGGCGATTTGCATGGTTTTGAAAGATATGATGTACCAGCCTGTTTCCACAAAGCAATCTCGACAGGGTGTAGGAAATCCAGACATTGCACTGGAAAATGGTGGGGAGAGGTTCGTTCTGGAGGGCGTGAAAGAGGACAAATCAACAGTCACCTTCAGCGCTTCAATAGCATGACGAACTACAAGAACGCCAAACACAAGTTTCTCTACATCATCGGCATGACAATAAGAAGATGAGTGACACGGTGAACAAGACTCAAGCGGTTGGTGTGCAAGTCATAGGCTTAGTCCCTAACATAGCTCACACAGCCTACACCGTCCACGTGAAGAGCAAGGGCATGATCATCAACACCTTCAATGTGGAATGCGACCTCGTGGCAAGGAGGTTGGTGCTCAAGGACGACGGCAAGCCTGAGCTCTACAGTGTCCAATCGCTGAGTGTCAATCTACCTCCAACAGCTCAGACCAGACCCTGGGTGAAGTCTTGCAGTTTTGTTTGTTTTGGTTTGTCTGCCGTTCTTGTCCTACTGTCCTACCTTAGCAAAACATCCGAGCATTTGAAAATGGACCAGCGACTGCCATCTTTTTTCACGCTACTTGCAGGCACTAGTGCTACGACAAAAGCTGTTTGGGTGAGGCAGCTCCTCCATAAGGACTGATGACAGTTCCACATGCTGAGCTTGTTTCGAGAAAGGGTGTCTATGTAATGTTCCTCCCAAGCCCTAAAATGTGGG